CCTCCAGTTGCAGAGCACCCTGTATCCTACCCGCCCCGTCGTGCATGTACTCCGCCTCGCTGCTACTATCGGCCAAGTGACTGCGAGCGAGCGATGCCTCGGCCTCGGCTGGCGAAGTTCTTAGGAGTACCTAAAGGCCGGTTTTCACACGCAATGATTAGTGGCGCCAACTGACTGGCATTCATTGGCACCAGAACCGACTAGCAAACTTACAAGTATTTACACAGTGATTGGCGTATACTATGGAAAATATTTAACATTTATTAAACACACAGTAAATGACAACAACCATATAACCTCAAATTTTGAGGTTATATGCTTTGGCCAATAACCGCCAGTAAACGCCACATTACTAGCGCCAGTTTGCATCAAGTGTTTACACTTGCATTTTTACTGGCATTAGTCGACTGGCGCGGCCTGGCGCCACCAATCATTGCGTGTGAAAACCGGCCTTTAGGTATCGCGCCGTCTTGGTACCACCGCCGCGCCACGATACGAATCGGTACTGGCAACGAACTTACTTACGCGACTTATCAGTGTACGCTCTTATCTGTTCCGTGTCGCTCACTATAACAAACTTGAGCCGTGGGCTTTCCAAGGAAAACGGCGAACTACATTCCTTCTGAAATTTCTTCCATTAAATTACGTCTATATTGCGTTATGTCTTGCCACCTCGTCTCGCAGGTGCAGACTTGCTGCTATTTTTGTCGGAATTATACACAATTGGATGGAATTGTTGCGTATTAGCATAGAATAAAATGGGCGAAGAGTAATAGCAAAATTCAATATTTTATCAAAATGACACGACGAAAATGTAATTGAAAATGTTTTCTAACGGGACCGATTAATTTTACATTATTCAAATATAAATTAAGCTCAAAATATAAGAAAGAGTGCAAGAGTAGTATGAGGATTAAGAAATGTGACGAAAATAAGATATGAAATCGAAAATACACTGTTCGTCTTTTTTTTTTTTGTTCAAACATATGCAGACACGATATTGGAAAGTTTGTGAAGTAAGACGCGCGAATAACTTTGAGCATATCTCCGTTAGTACATAAAGCGGGAAAAGCTGACATCGTCAGGAAGTTAGAATATTCTACTTTGTCATGGTGCTTGAATATTCCCTAGACTTCATGTAAGACCAACATTGTTTTCGCAAATGATATACAACCCTAAATGAGAAGAACTTGAGAAAGTTTGAACATATCCTAACAGAAGAAATGTATAATGCGCAGTTAGAATAAAACTTTTGAATTCATTTTGCAACAGTTGCATCTTATGCTTTCGCAGACAGTTTAGCGCACACTGAAGCTCCTAATTTATTCGCGTTTGCTATTAGGATCTGCAATATTGCGTTTATGAAAAAGTCCGGGATTAAAGGCAAATGGAAAAATAATGGTTACATATTGGATGACGACAAGTATGAATGTCAAATATTTTTGTATTACATACCTACCAGCTACAAATAATCGGCTTATAGTGACCTATAACGAAAGATTCCATGATTTAAGCGTTATCCTTGTTTACTCTTTGTATTATTGAAATTTATGATTATCGTGAATAGTATTATAGGATAAACCCGTTCGATTCGTTAAAATTTGCCGCAATATTACTCATCAATTTAGCGAGACCGTTTACAACGTAAATTACTGTTATTTAATAACGACTAAAATTAAAAAAATATGCAAACATTTACGTTAGTAACACATCGGAAAAATTAAGATACTGTGAAACGTTCTCTCCTTCTTCTATATTAATCAAATATTTGACTAATATAGATATTTGTTGCCATTTGGAGGATGATTTTGACTTTATCTCGCATGTTATTTTAATGAAGCAACGATGCAATGTTTGCTCGTGTAATTGCAGGAAACGAAGCTGCTTGCCTTTATTCGCCGATAGGGAGCACGTGTGCGTAAAGTATATGACGTATCGATCGTGCGAAACTTGCTCATATAGAATGCAAAAGCATGTGTGTTGTATCGGTCTATACATGTGAATATGTACACACATACATATTGTGTGAGACCGTTTCCATTCCATTCGCCTTTCTATTCAAGCGTGAAAACGAGAAAGCTGGCAAGTCAACATTATTTATCGATTGTACATCAAGTAAATTAAATCGAAGGCACGAGTGCAACAACCAGGCGAGCTCAGTTTTCTCGATAAACAAGTTAGTTGCCATTTGTTCTGAATGAATGGTGTGTCCACTGAATGCAAAAAGTTTACGTGCGAACAATAATTTAACAGTTGCAGTGAAAAAGGCAGAAGTGGACAACCAGGTGCGATATTCAGCGTGACCATTCGTAAAAACAATGGCTGATTTTTCTAACAATCAAAATGCATTGTCGGAATCAATTATTATTATGTTATTTATCATTTTTGATAAAATGGATTTAAATATTCTATAGAACAATATTCTATAGAATCTTTTATAAATGGATACATTGGTGTGATTTATTCGCATCGAATAAGCTATTATATTATACGGAAAAGATTGTTAGCGATATAAAGCCAAACATATATGTCAGCCCCGCATCTTTGCTTTAATATATGCAAAACGAATAGCAGGAGTGAAGCCTAAAGCAGAAGTGCGAATAATAGACACGAATACGTAAGTGAATAGAACGGGCTTTAACGTTGGGACGATGTTTGTCGAATCATTACTGAAAAGAACGAGGAAAATCCTCGTGAAGGTATGAAAGAAAGGAATTTCCGGGCAAGCATTGAACCGGGGATAGGTTCTCCCCCCGCCCCCGGGCTCACTTTTTAATTATACCAAAATCTAATCGACAAAGGTGATCTTGCACTCGTTAGCTACCTTCTCGTTTTTCAAACCTTGTTTATTGATTGTGCACGATTCGCCGCATTAATGGGTGATTTGATCTTACAACCGAACGGGTTACGTAATTTTTCGATAATCAATACGCCGTTAATTGTCGATATGATTTATAATAAAACTCGTAAATAGATAATGAACGCCAAAATGCATCGCGCCCCATTCAGGATGCAGTAAATAATACCCTGCTCGAACTGTTGGTGAATTCAACTATACTTTTCGAACTTTTTGTTTTAAAAAGCATCTTCGCCAGCCATATATGACTACCGCTTGGAGAATAAATGTATTCATGTATTATACAAACATGTTACAATAATCCTTGCAAAATTTTTGTGATATGTCACACAATGTATACATGTAATGTTGCTACTGTAAGGTACGCAACTATTAACATATAAATAATGTTTATAAATTATGATTATGTTTAAATTAAGTTAGGAAAAAAATAGTAGCATTTTCAAATAAAAGAGAATTATTGTTATTTTTGCAAATAATATTATAACTTACAGTTTCCTATTTCTTCAATTTTTCTATTCCCATTCTTCCAAATTCGGATTCTTTACTTTACTGAAATAAAAATGTGCGGTTTAATAAGAGTTACGTCTGTGCGGAATATGCCATCTTGCGTAATTGTAACGTTTTGTTGCAAAGTAGAAATCATTTTGTGAATAAATCATATAATCTTTCACAAATTAAAAAAATATGTGCTTTAAAATTATACGTAGCGGAGAGGCGATTAATTTTACAGAATATTGCATTTTTTAAATCTTTTTTGTTTCTTGTACCTAAATAAATGTAATGTATAATATTGCTCCCCGTGTTTTAAAAAATTGTTGCCACTAACTATACGTTAATAATACAGTAATGTTGTAAAACTGAAATGTTGCGATAAACTTTTATATAAATGTGTATATGTAATTATAATAATGATAATGAATAGGCAAATAATCAATTTATTTAATCACAACTATTAGGCATATGGAATAAAGTCTGCCTAGGCTTTTAGCTCATCTCGGTATAAGCGGCTTAATAGCACATTAATTTTCAATATTTGCTCGCGCATTCGCACGTGGGGCCAATACATTAATTATCACGTGAAAATCAGACGGGCGATGTTAACTGGTACTGGCTTTGATTCTAAACGAAATTTGCAGTGAAAAGAAACGCCCGATATCTGCACATATCCAATTAATTTTTCCATTTCCACTATTTCGACGCGCACGGGATGCAAATAGACATTCTTCTGAATTTTAATTAATTAACGCGCGAGTCGGGGTACATATATCAAAAACAGAAAGTAGCCTTCCTCGTCCAACACCTAAAAGATTTACAATTAATAATTCACAATTCGAAGACCGAGCTTATTACGGAAGAGCATGATCCGTATGAATTCGCGGGGATCTATTCGGCTCCGGCGTAACGCATCATCGATTCACCGTCAACGCGAACGGAATTGACGCATGCGATCGATCAATGTCGAGTTCGCGGACCAACGACTTCGTTCGTTTACGTGGTACAAATAAAATTCCCGGAAACGTAACGGGATGCGCCCGTACGCTTGATTGTTGGAAATATTGCGGGCAAGAGCAAATAAAACGTCGCAAACTCGAAACGTACGAGTTTCAAATGCAGTCTGTGATTTCGTAGAGAGCTCTCGCGTTACAGTGTAAAATGGGAATGCCGATGAGTACTCGGCAGCAAAGCAAACAAAAATTATTTAGACCAACAAGAAATTAATTACAGTTTATCGTATAGATGTAAAATAAAACAGAATCCAGTCTATTCTTATATTTTACATAATGTCTTAGTATTTATATAGTATGCATATTTTAAGGAGTATATGTGTTACTATTATGTCTCTTCATCTTAAAGTCTTCGAACTCGTTGCCTTGACCTGCAAAAATATTCCTTTCAATCATCCGCCACTTCCACTAATTACTTTCATTCACAAAATTTATTTTTAAAAATATTCTAGTGAATCTAGTTAATATATGCAAATATAAAATAATTATTACCAAGTTTTGTCTTATCATAAATATTATTTGGCAAACAAGCAGTAAGATAACCATGACTTTTTAATTTGCGCGTGTAAAAGAATAAATGCAGAGAAAACTGATTTTATGTTATTCTTATCCGCTGTATTTTTCTCTTTCCTCAGAGCTTGTCTTCTCACCCGCGTGCCCGTAGACGCTGTGGATGTAAACTGAGATGCATCGCGTATCAAGAGCCTATCACACGTCGAAGTCGCACATCGTTTTGCAAATGCGTACAGACAACTCGTGAGTTGCGAGCGGACTTTCGAGTGCGTCGTTAGACGCGCTCAAACGTTCGCAATCGTGCAGATTCTCCACGATTTTGATGATGAAGAAACAGTGCTTAAAAAAACTGGTCGGCCATCATCAAGGCGGATCCTCGAAAATTCGCGATCGACAGGGATGAAAGGTACGTTGCAATAATTTGATTTTATCAATTTCGCCTTGCTTTCCTTTCCTTTCCTTTCCATATTAGTTTTTATTGACAGAAAAAACAGTTGCTTTTAAAATAACAGTTTGCAATTTTTTTATTATATAAAAAAAGAGAATATTTCTATGAAACATTGTTGATCCAATCTTATTACGATTATTATTATAATATACTAAAAAGCATATCTTCTGCAATCGGCAATTTCTTCATAACAATCAAATTAATATATAACGAAATTTTATTAAAAATTGTACATGTAAATAAACAAATAATATAAAATTTTATTTAAAACAAGATTATTTTCAAACATACAAAATACGTGAAGAATATAATCTTTAGAAGAATCACTCAATATAACTAAATTGTATTGAAGATTTTATTTATAATTAAACAAGTATGATAAGATTCCTTTAAACATTTCTCCATATTTAAATTGTACAATAAAATATAATAAGATTTCATTTAAAAAAAGATTATTTTCAGAAACGTACGAAATACGTGTGCCTCGAGCGGGACACTGGGGTCTCGTCTGGGGTTTCAGCACCGTAATCGCGTGGGGAAGTAAGCGAGCAATCGATGATGATGGAACACAGACAGACGATACTGCTGGCACCCTCACTGAGCAACAGCAGTTGTTGGCGAGGCGGCACGTCCGATGCCGCTTGGACAGGTCCAGGCCCTGGAGAGCTGATACGAGCTACCCTTATACTGCTACTCAGCCTTGGTATCCTGTGCGCCAATCTGCTAGTGATATGTGTTATCAATAGCAGACAGTACAGCAAATATATACACGCTCAGGTAAGATAGTACCATTTGATACGTGCAATTTGATTTACGTAACTTTTTAGAAGTTAACGAACAAGTTCGGTGCCGGTATCCCCGATCGCGTCGAGCTTCGTACGTATGTATTTTGTCTGCGTTGCGGTAATCTTTTTTTTTCGGAAGACACGCCGCGCGACCGCGGCGCAGATGGCGAGCCTTCCTAAATTGCATTTACATGTTCGGTGAGTGATTTATTACTATCGCGGTGACAGCGAAGCGAATCAACAACTTAATAGCTCCGCGATCCGACTTTTTTCACATTCGGTTCCTCGAAATCCGTCGCGCTCGACATATACCGTGCTTGTTTATTTGCGACGTTCGGCGTCGAAGCAATTAGTTTTTTTTGGCTTGGATTATCTCGAAAGCCGTGCTCGAGTCTCGGCACATGCCGCACACGTGTTTCGGCTACTTTTTTCTCGAGCTATACATCGTTTTAAAATCTCCCTACCTTTTCTCTCTAATTTTTCTCCTTCCACCACTTCCAAAATCGGCACTATCGGCACTATCGGCAGTCACCTCAGTTCTATCGCGGAGACACGGGCGTGAGGACGTGTGCACTTGCCGCGATCGCACGTCTTTTAATTTTCTGAAACGTGGAAAGTGAATATCGCGTACGCGTGTCGGGACTTTTGAATCGAGCAACGGGCGATCGCTTAATTAATATCCTCTTGACAAAATTTATAATTTGTTAAATATGAATTTTGAAAGTTAATCTTTTTATTTTTATAGTAAAATAATAGTAATTGCGAAATCTGTACAAATTTTAAACTCCCAGAAAAGAGTGTGTTGAGAAGAACAGCGCAATGCAGATTTCTCTGAAAATTTCACTTGTTATTCGAAAGATAAAAAAAGAACACTTAATAAGATCAAGGAAAACGTTAAGATATGTATAAATAGTGAGATTTAATATTATATTAGTTTTATATCTTATGAAAGGATTATGGTAGGTAAAATATCAGTTACGCGAATGTACGAAGGTTTCAGTCGCTGTCATAACTCATAGTCTGTGATGGAAGGTATTTTCTCCATTTTCCTCTTCTTCCTATGTAAATCAGTCTGAAATGGTTAGTTACACGGAATACGGGACAGTCATGTTTCTGGATTCTAAATGAGTGCCGCCGAGTTTCCATAGAAAGACTGATGACGCCCGCAAAAAATTCTACATTAGTGAGTGGATGTTTCATCCTCTATTTACTCGATTAATTAAAGTTTTCTGACATAGTAATACGTAAAACTGAGAACATTTTTATTAAAGCGCGGTATATAATATACCGTTCTTTAGCATTCATCGATTTTCACCGTATGAATATGTAAATCTTTCTAGAGAGTTAGTTAGATATACAGGTTGGTTATTTTCTATAACTATATTGCATACATAAAATCCTTATTCTGTGCGATGCTGTGACGCCTAATTTAAATGCTGTTCGAGAAATCATTATTCTAACAAATATTTTATTTCGTTTTGTTATCAGGAAATACAATCTTCTACGCCGTAGATGTATTGTCACTAATGATGTTTAACTTTTCTGTATTGCTCTTTCCGGTTCCGTCTTAGTTTTTCTTCGCCTACCTAGCGACTTCTTCTCCTGCGCTCTCGGATCTAATTTATGTATATGTAAAAGTTACATAGGCTACTAAATATGTATAGGAAAGTAACTTCGAATTTCCATACGATTATTAGCGAGAGTAGAAAGTAATATTGCGAAGATTGAAAGTTAAAACTGCATTAACAACTTTAACAATTGGAGACATGTATTTTTTACTTGGCCTAGAAAATTAAATCTTTTATTATTGCATACGTAAATTTCTATAAGCATTAATTCAAAATAAATGTTATTTAAAGTTAAACAGAACAATCAGTTAAATCGACTGATTTAATCTTAACTGATGTTCACGGAAATGACCCACGGTTAACTAAAAGAAGTTTTCGTTAAGTCAATCGATATTTCCCTCGCTACGCCTCATGACAGAGTTAATGTCGCACACATTACGCAACAATTCAACCGTTCCGGTAACGACGTTCATTGACACTGACCAAGACAATCAACAGGTTCTCCTCAATTTTCTTCCAGCCCAGATATTTGCTGACGAGCTTAGCGAGCAACGATCTAGCGATTGGCCTTTTAGTGACGCCTTTCGGTTTCTTACCAGCTGTTTACGGATGCTGGCCATATGGCGAAGTTGTCTGTCAAATTCAGGTAACTTTTACAATGTATATCACTATTTTTTTCTATATAGGTTTTGTTTATCTTTAAATATTTATATTTGTCATGCGAGAGTCGTGTTAATATACCGTTTAGTTGAGAAATAATCAACGTTCGTTATCTTACTTTAATTCATTCTACTTGAACATAGAGAACATGTAGTATATTTTATATCGATATTATATTTTTGTATATATATATTGCATCACAATGAATGTTAGCTTGAATATAACATTGGAGATTACGATATTACTTATAGCGTTGCGCATTAAAGAGCCGTTCAATAACCTCGACAGCTTTTCTTTGCCAGAAATCGAGGAATTTGTAGGAAATGGTGTTCGCGATGCTTGGCAGGAAATTATTATCGTTTGAAACTCGTGGCTGCGCTTCCGGCAGCCGGTACTTCTTCCGCTATTTCCTCCACCAGTCGGCGGCTGCGACGTTATCGGAGTTCCTGGCGATAATCTTTACGCATTGCTCCTTTCCCCCCGATCCCTTCCTCGTCCTCTACGCCATCTTCTGAAGTAACGGTCTGATTTGTGACCGTATATTTCTTCATTTCGCACGTGCTAAACTCGGGAATGCGCCATTTCGTCGACAGATCTCGAATTTCATGGTATTTGCTTATCTAGCCGAAACGGGAAATTGCTGTAATACCTTGCGCGAGATTAGTGTACACAAGTTATACATATATAAACTAAATACAACTTTCTGTGCAATTTATAATAAATATTTGTCACGCGTCGCAAATTAATGTACGTTAGGAAATTTATTTTTCTTTAACAATGATAAAAAATAGGGTATGTTGTGTGATATATCTGTGTTGCTTTGCTCTCTGATTATCTAAATAATAACAACTGTTAATTAACTTCACGATGTATTGGCAACGTAGAACGTATTTGCGTAGTAAAATATCGCGATAATTAATTTTAGTAACTGCAAATAAATTAACGAAATTTAACGAAAGTTTAACAAGGAAGCCATTACAGAGGTCTCCTCGTTAAGCAGAGATATGATGAATCTATTGTATCTGTTATAATTTTGTTTACATTAATATTTTCTCAAAACCACATTGATACTGGATGTTATAATTGAACGTCATGTTCAATTAAACACTCATTATTTATTTCTGTATTTGCTTATTCCTATCGATAAAATAAACAATAGAAAAACAATAGATTTGTTAGAATATAGGCTGAGATATTAATTATATCATCGTTTATACATATAATATAGAAATAGAGAGATGATACGTGCAGTGTCACTTTTATCTGAATATTGTAAGTTATAGCCATACTCGTAACAACAAATCATCTTTGCCGCATTTTCCCGATAAGACTTGAACTACGTATATAGAGATATGTATATGTCGCGTTATATCGGAATACCTTTCTGATATCTAAGATGTTGATGTCTTCCGATGTTTCGGCTTTGCATCTCTACAGACATGCATAATATTGTGTCAAAACACTGTCCGTTACCATCAAGATTCTTACGCTACGTCACTTTTATCAAATATCAGACTATGCAAATTTAGTGCAAATATGTAATAAGATATGGTTATCAACTTGAACGAAAAGGGAACCATCATTGTACAAATTGCAATCAAAACGCTGAAAAGCGGATATCGATCAAATATTGGGGAAGAAATAAAACAAAAGTTATAAATAAAATTGAATTAAATAACTATATAATATTTGCATATTTAATAAACTTAAATAATTATTTATATCCAAAAGATTTACTTTTTTTTTAAGAACTCAGCAATGACTCTTCAGAATTGCAGTTAAGAATTGTATTATACGTGTGTTGCACAATTGCAATAAATGTATAACGATTATTTATCAAAGCAAATATAGCAAAATAAGATTTTAAAGATTAGTATATTTTTAATCATAGTTTAGAATGGTCTATAAGTGTTCGCGAAATAAAAAGAGTACATTCTTTAGAAATAGGTAGAAAGGATTCGTTTATTTACAACATTAATAATTAGTATCATTTTTAAAACACTTCTCGAGATCCTATCACAAAAAGAGCATCGTACAAAGAATGAGATGGGCGATAGGACGGTAAGTGACTAAAAAGAATACAAGATAATGTGGTAGCAAGTAGAGACTATAAGCAAAGAGAATTAATAAACGTGGAGAGCACTTCCCGTGTAGCTGGAAATAGATTGCAAATTTGGTGGAAACGTGGTACAATTAGTAAGACCAAGCAGGAAGGAGATAAGTGGCAGATAATTAATAAACAGATGCGAAACACAGATATCTGATAATTAGGAAAACATATGTTGCATAATTAGGAAATTTAAAGAACAAAATAATGTAATATAAAGTATATACATTCTATATACAGATTCTTATTATCTTTGTAGATATTTTTTTACAAATCAAATGTTTTTTTATACATTATTATTCTCAAATTATTATTGACATTAATACGACACAAAAAAAAAGAAATATAATTCTCTCAATACGTTTTTTACAAGTTTTGATTTTTTTTTACATAGAGGTAAAATATCACTTTGATAGCGGATATTTCGAAAGATTGTACAATACATATACGATTGTGAAATGTGTAACAGCCGCGTAGAAATTCAGATAAAATTCGATGCTGCGGACGATCCTATAAAACTTTACGAGCACCATCGACTGTCGAAATAGAAAATCAGGGATCTCGACACCTGCAGAAATTTCATAAAACCATAAGGATAATATTCCTACGTACGAATACTTTCATCTTGGAGACATATCGTGCGTATTTCTCATATATACAGTCTCTTTATCCATACATCTCTCAAATAGATACGCGGGAACGATGGAAGGTTAACATTTCAAACTCAAGTAGAAGTCTCGTTTCGTGCTCTTGTTACATCTTTCGCATATGATACAACATTCCATGTACATTATTATATTTCAAATTGTGCACGCCACTTTCGTTCATATTTTATATGTACATTCTTAAAATCTCTCGAGATTTTTTGAAAGTTCTTTCTTCTCCTCTTCTTTTCTCCTAAAAGAAATTTTATATAATCGTAAACACACACACACACACACACACATGAAAAGAGCCGTGCAATTTCATTAATTATTAACAACTCTTGATAGAACTAAAGTAGTAGCACTCGATTCGATACAGGCACAGCAAGCATCCCGTTAGCTCAAAGCTCAAAGAGAAACTACGTACAAATACTACGAATCTATTAACCCCAAGGGCGTAACGATAGTGTTGATAGTGCGCCAAACCGTTGGCAAGTGAAAAAGAAAACGTGCAAACGAGTAAAAAAATTTCAAACGTGTAAAACTTTACGTGATCAGTTAATAAAAGTGGCGTGTTTGTAGTTTCGGCTCCGTATTCATTATGATACAACGACAGTTGTGTACAATTGAATCGAATTCGCGCGACCGCAGCTAATAGTTTATGTATTAGAATTTATTGATCCACCATTAATATAGTGTTTAATATTCCACTGTGTTAACGGGCGATCAATTACATTCCGTTCATTTTAAACGTCGTTCGAAACAGCATCCATATCTATTTGTGACAATAATGAGCGGTAATATCCGAGGTATTAAACAAAACGCTGCCCTTATTTGAATGCGTTTACCACATATCATTGTTTCTGTTATCGATATGTTCAACAGATAGCGAGGAATACGAAAAGATAATGCGAGATATTTTATATAAAAATTAAAACGCTTTGTGAGGGTCGATTTTGCTGTAAAGGGGATAAATAACTGTTTTAAGTTTCTTTGTTAATTCCCACTTTGAAATTTCAACATTGTGATTTTTAAATCTTTTACTTCAAACTTCGAGGTATGCAGTTTTGACGCTGCACGTGCAAATATCGAGTATCGCCCGTAGAAAAACATAATTGAGAACGGGTCGAGTACAGCGCGTTGACAATTGCTCCATTGGGAAAGAGTATGAGAATGACACGGAGATCACGCGTTCTAGATATTCCAGAATGGTAAATCGTCTAGCCACTCGATATTCATAGAATCTATTCTTAGTGGCAACAAATCTCTCGGGTTTACGCGATAACCTCGGGCCGCGATGGATTTGTGTATTCAGATATCCGCTAGAAACCAAACTATAAACTTGGATAAACTAGTACGCTGCTTGTTCTTGCTCGGTGATATGCCAAGAATCACTGAAGACAATTACTGTTGTTATCATGTTGTTACCATGTTGTGACGATCCTGCTGCTTGTAATGCATTTAGTACATTACAATACCATTAAGCATTTAAGCTCCTCAGACTATACAATGATTATTGATATAACAGTTTTTCAATGCAATTGAAACGATCTTTTTATACTTAAAAAGATTTTCCATAATATAAGTGAGAAACAATTATTTTATATAATAATAATACCAATAAAAAAAACTTGCATTTTTCTAATATATTAAAATTTAATATTTTCCATTCACAATATTATCTTTAGAATGAACGGTGGTATTTTATTGCAAATTCGTTCGCTTATTATGGTATATTTGTATAAAACAAACTCCAAAACATCTATTGGTAAATTTTTCAACGTTCACTACCTATATTAGCTGCATAATGTCATTACTTATCGGAACGAGCTACGATGTCGCCGAAGCGCTAACGCTGTTCATCCCTCCGTGATTTTCTTCTTTCTTTTTTTCGCGGCGTAAACCGACCTGAAAAATTCTTGCGCCGCCGCGACAGTAATGCGATTGCGAATTTAATATTCCACAATTCCGGGTATACGCCCCAGCCGCGCATCGCCGTGCCGATGCCCGTTTCATTTATTGGCGACGAGCGAGGAATTATATTACGTTAAGAGAGGAGAGGCGATCGCAAGTTTCTATGAGAGATGCGGCGCGTTTTGTGCGCGTGACGTGACAGTGACATGCTTCAGATTCTCGATAGCGTACGTGCACAGAGACCCCCATGAAAATGGAATAAATCGTTGCCATTGGCACCTGGAAACTACCATTGTCGAGTAAAAGTCAACTCTGCCTGATTGTTAACTTTATTTTCCTATTGTTTACATTGGTGTTGTGAAATTTTCACAATTGAACGCGCTCGTTCGCCCGAGCTCCGCTGAATTTCGACAAAAAGCCAGCGTTCTCCGCTAAAAGGATGCGCGTTGTAACGCGCTACTGCAATCGGCCCAAGGTCGTTCCAGAGTAAATGCAATTTTCGTGAAACTCCAACGCAGCGCTCGCCGTTATTTCTCGACGGTATTTCTCGGCATGGTAAACTAAGGGATCAAACTCGTTATACCAATTATTCCGCGGCTAAATAACAGTTAGCTCGATGTTCCATTAAAATCTCCGAGTCTCCGCTGAGATTCGACGACGGCGGTGATGGCAAAAGGTTAGCGGTTACTCGGAGATAAGTCAGCTTGTGGCGAAAATATTTGGTTAAGGTCTTCCAAGAGAGAGTGTTTCGGGGATATGGCTCCAAACGAGGCCAGACCGATCCTGGCCCCTTTAGATTATCAGAGCTTTTCTCTGGCCATACGCCAACGGTCACCATGGTAACCATCTTAAACGTATACTTGGTACACTCACACCCTCGTCTTGTCGTTTCTTTACGGCTACATCGACGTCACTGATTCATCGAATCAAGCTGTCGCCTTCGGCGGCTCGCGGTATTTGGGATCGTTTCCCTTTCCCAGAGATCGAATCGTGCCTCTGTCCTCGCCTGTCTCCCTCGGCACCTGCCGGATAGAGCAGGTCCCGAATCGCGATAGCGTACATCTCGTTACGTCCCAACTGTCCCGCTCCAAAGTAGACCAACGTATCGGACTCGAACGACGGTTGATGTCAGTAGATACCTACGAGATTGCTCAATATGTGGTTGAACGTATACGCTAGGGACAGATATACGTTATACGGCATTTGCTTCAGAATGCGTCTATTTTTTTCTTATCATTAACTTTAGTAGAACTAAAAAAAAATTATAAAATGTCCAACTTTTGTATATTTATGCCTATAAATTTATGTATAAATAACTTTTTTAAGAAACAAATTCTTAATATGTAGATAATTTTTTATTTCCCTAAAATCTATTTCAATACATATAGCTAAGAAATCTTTGCATGCGCGATAAATGCCTAAATAATCTAAGTTGACAGTTTTCAGATAAAAATCTTTTTTGAGATATATCTCGATATGCTAACTTATTGCTTAACAAGCTTATAAAGACAAAAAAAAAATATATATATATATGTATGAAAATTCTTTTCTTAATTAGAGAGTTAAATCAATATGTTTTTTTGTGTTTTATCGCAATTTTTAAAACTGTTAAAAATTAATTTGAACATTTATAAAAAATAGTAATAGGAAAGATAGAATTTTCTAAATTTTCGAAGTGTCATGCACGTAAATTTGCAGTTGTAATTGCGTTTCTCTCGCCGCAGAGTCGTAGAGATAGTTAGTTTCAATTGGATGAAAGGGTTGGCGGTGATCCTACTGGCAATTTGCTCGCCGTCTGACAGCTTGTTTCGTGTAATGTATGTACGTTTGGAGAACAAATTAGCGTTTGCCGACAGTCCATTCGTAGACCAAATTACAAGAAATTGACCCGTTACATGCCCGTAATCGATACATTACTATACCTTAAGCCATCGCGCAATACTTGCGCAATATCAAGAAATAAACGTTAATTAGTAAATAACGATACTTTCTCAAGCGCTACTTACAATCTTCGATAAAAATTCTCTTCTGATAAATGTAGAAGCTATCATATTACTTTTCAATTTAGTAAGAGAAAAGATAATTTATACTTGCATCTAATTAAATGGAAAAGGAAATCCAACGCGGATTCATATTATTTGATCGCTTTATCTTAATTACTTTATCCGAACAATTGAACCAACCAACTGTACTTCATCGTTGATAATAATTACGTTTTATTAATTTCTGAAATTTACGAAACCATGTTCTACAATTTTATTGCAATTAACATGCGTAAATTCATATTTTACCGTAGTGTCTACACGAGCAGAATTTACAAAAACTATACGTCACACTATTTAATCGCGGACTAAAATTCACAGGCAGATAAGTGCAACGGCGCGGAAGCAACATTGCGCGGTGATGAATGCGGTCCTTTTTTATTCGAGCGTGACATTTAATTACAGCACGGACTCGGCACCAGGTTTATAGAGCTTACTAACGATTCCCCGTACAGTGAAATGTGTGCGACGTAATTGTAACGCCGTCTACATGAGACATCAGCGTAAATAATCAGTGGTGCTATAATGTTAATTAAGCCAATCTCGACTGTTGATTTGCAGCAATTAATTAGATGATTCTGTCTCTGCCTATACCCTCAAATTAGAGCAATAACGATTCTCACGCGAATTCCGATGCTCGATGCAAAATTATTATACCGCAAAGCATTGCGGCACGAGCGGTAAACCGCAAGCTGCCCCTCATCAACGGTAAAATCCTGATTATTTTGCTATATTCATGTAGGAAAGATCCATATGCGTCTCTAGGATAAACTAATCAATTGACAATTCAATCAAATGCAACATTATTATTAATATGTGAATCACATTTACATTATATTATACGCATATAATTATACTATTAAATTACTATTAATAAATTATTGATAGATGTGTAATCTTTGTGTAATCTTTGTTCTCCTTCTTTTGACAAATCAAGAAATGTTCAAATTAACTAATGATTTAGAAAAAAACTAAAAGGAATGTAACGATTGTAAGACGCCGACAAGTACAGTTGATTTTCTCTCGATGTTCTCTCAACTCATCAAAACTTCTCGCTTATCTGACTTGTCTTGCTGCTTGTCGACCTATGCACTTTTCCAAGAAGTTATAACTTATTTGAGAAAAAAAAAACTGAGAAAGAGAGGGGAAGAGAGAGTGCGCGACACCTGAAGAATCTCGTTTGCTCTTTCGGAAACTTTTACTGTTCCAGGCACTTCTTAGGGGCGCTTTGACTCAACAGAGCGCTGTTATCCTCGTCTGCATGGCAATCGACCGTTATGTTTGCATGCTGCACCCTCATCGCTATCACAAGCACTCTTCTAAAAGGGTAAGCTATATATTACTGTCTGTACTCACTCATTAACTATTAAACTATTAACTGCTAATGGACTCTTACACACTTATTCGTCGATATTACTTTTTGATATTATAATAACATTGTAACAAGTTGCAATGTTTCTAATATAGATACTCTTTATTGTAAATTATTCACGTTTTCAAGCGAGTTTTCAAGCATCTATCTTTTGCTTTTAACATTAAATATTAAAATTTTAAATAATACAAGGGGCTCTGATGATTAAAAATCAACTAAATAACCAAAGATTATAGCCGTGACAGAATGTTCGTGTCGATATTAATATCTGTGTGGATTTTTAGTGAATTACACGCCGAATATTTTTTGGTCTTGCAAACAGCCCTAATTTTACCGGAATAGTCCGCGTACTTAAATCGATAATCGATTTAAACAATCGATGCTAATTAGCATCCTTATAATTAAATTACTATAAAGAAATTTAAAGAAATTATTGCGAAAAATATCACCTGAGCCAGAGTTCGAATCTGGAACTTCCCCAATTCACGTGTAGGGTATCGTACCAATTCGACCACTGAGGTATTACATTTAAGGATGCATCGATTTAAATTAATTATCGATTTAAGTATGTGGATTTACTATTCCGGCAAAACTAAGGCTGTGTTACAAGACTGAAAAATATTCGACGCGCAGTTCACTGAGTTGAAATATAAAAATTCACGTGGATATTAATATCGACACGAACATCCTGTCACGGCTTAAGCCCTTTGTTATTTAGTTGAATTAAAATTTTAATTATTTTCAGAGAGTGATGCGTTGTGCACAACAAAGATTTATCTTTTTTTATTTTTCTTTTATAAAGTTACGTAATTTCTATTATAAATATTTAAAAAGACAATATATTCATATTTTGTTAATTAAACGTGATTCTTTTGATTTAAATACGTAAAAAGTTTTTTTTATAATCATCATTTTCATATTTCTACTACAGTAAAAACGAATACGATTCTTTTATGATTGTTTCACGAAATTTCGTACCAATGTCACTCGTTTTAATTCGATGTCACCCGTTTCAAACATTTCTTCTGTCTGCAGAGATTCATTCTCCCGACAATTCTCTCGATTCATTCGATCTATCGACAGCAAATTTGCTCTTGTTAAACACAATGTGATGTGAACAATTGAATAGTTGATTGATTACAGACAATTGTCAGGTTAAAATAACCGTTGCTCAGTGAAAGTGACAGGTATTAGCGAAACTTGTTCGATTCGTTTAAATTTATGAGAAAATAGAATCCACCGTGAATCGTGAATCGGCTATTGATACAATCATTTCGTTCATGAATATAATATGAGGATCTTTGACGATATTTGTATTCATGAATCTGAAGAATAAAAATATTTCTCGTTGCACGTTACAATCACTTTATTCATATAAGATACGACAATCCAATATCATTCATCGCTTGTAATTATATGTGTTTAAAAGCTAAAGATATTTCTCGTTATATGTTGCTTTTGGAAGTTTAATATCGGCGCAGCTGTATAAAATGTCGATGCTTCGACGCTATGTTCATAAAACATCTTTCTCAATCCTTTATACATATACATATTATACTATATATACAATATATATTTATATACACACATATGCATAGACGTGCGAACCATTGAAATGAATATTAAAGAAGATTGAAAGCTTAACAGAATAGACAGTAAAAATTTCATTTAAAAAATAATCTCTTAGTCTCTTTAGGATATAGGATATCTCACGCTACTCAGTAATGAAATAAAAATAAATAGCGATCGTTTTTGTTTTGTTAGCATAACGAAAGAGTGTGAAAATCAAATAAGCGCACACATCCGCGTTGCTTTTATAAATGGAATATTGTATATATCTATTATACTTTATTTTTCTTTATAACTAAAAATCGCGGTATGCATTTATATATTGTCCATATATATGTATGTTCCCCATCCCTAGTTCTCTTTTAAATATTTTAAATATTTTATATATAGAAAATAAAATCTGAAAAAGAATATGCTAAAAGTCAGCGCGGATTGCGGGTTGGATATGTTTCATGTGATATAATTTATATATAAATTTATGAAAATAAAGCTCGTCGAAACTAACTTGTTTGAGTGTGCTGGGAAGCTCTTAATCTATTAGATTACTTCTGAAATTCTGGCCTGTCGACTACCGCGGGTTAATATAATCCAGTAATTTTGCATCACTTTCCACGAACAGCAAAAGCGATTGAGCGCTTTAAAGACAACTTTTGCGCCCTAGCTGCAAAGTTCGCGAGAGATATTAGTAGGATCCTTTCCTGCGATCCATAATACGCCTGTGGTTTCACACTACGGTTTGTCGAAGCTCGAACGCGCGTCGGTTTACTCTGGCTTAACCGCCGAAATTAATTTCGGAGGAGATTTAAAAGCGCATCAGAATGCAAAGTGCCATCGCTGCCTCTCATTCGCCTACCACGTCACTCACCTATCCTTCTATTTCCGCGGCCGTAGCGATAAATCGCGTAGCCAGGATAAAATTTACATGTAGTGAAGACAAATACAGAGTGGTTCAAAAATATCTCCCATATCCCTGACTTTCGAGTAATTCAGAAAAAAATAACATGATTTTAATCCAGATTTAAAAAATTAATCATGATTAATCGCTTCAACTAATCGTTTTGATTAAGAGAGTAAAGAAAAAGTCAATAGAAGAAAAATTATTTATTTATACGTATCCAAAAGGAATGCAAGATAGTTCTATACATATACCACCGACGGGCTCATTGACTTCAAAGAATGCGATTTTCTAGCACTACTCACATTGGACTTTTCGGTTCACCTTTCAATATATCTTCCGCCATTCTTACAATTCTTTTTTTGTTTCAGAAAATGTGTAATTCGTTCGTCACTTATATTTTATCTCAATATCGTGGTAATCTATTCGATTATAAATTTTATTTATAAATACTTCTGTCTATTACTCTACACGATTATTAAATTAAAAAGTTACATCATTTTTTTAAGTCTCACACACAATTATTATATATAAAATATTCGAAGATTTATCAACTAAAGATTTAAAGATTTATATATTTACAACCAATATATCTGTGAATATGTTGCTACTGTATTATTTTGTCTACAATTTATATTCATCAATTTATATGCATGCAAGAGCAATGCATTTTTATCATAAATAATCAATAATGATATTATATCTTGATTCGTTTCTTTTTCTTCACAATGGACCATCGAATACGATAGCACAGTGGAGAATAGAATAATAGAATTGCTATTTGCACAATTGCTATAATGAGAAAGAGAGCACAATGTATAAAAAAAGAGGTAAAAGAAAAACGTCCAACGAATCGTTGAGTCGTGTCTTCTATTCATTCCGTAATTTTCTGCCTATCGAGCGTTTGGCCGCTCATCGAATTCTGGTATAGACCTCGGCTCCGTCTCTTTTTACGTTCGATCGATAGAGGCTGTTGCTTCTCGATTTCGATTTCACATTTGCTCTTATCGTATTATATTAGTTCGCAGATACAGGTCCGTGTTACATCAGCTTTACTCATATTTGATGCAATATTCAATCGTATACAGCCCGTATTTAGTTCAAAGTTCGCAGCAACTTGGTCTTTAGTCCTTTGTTTCTGATGTTCACAATGCGAGGCGAATATCAGCCCTTACACCATTTACGTCGATAATATCTTCGATAGTATTTTCAGGTATTCTCAACTCAGAATGCATCTCGTAACTTCTATGCATCTTGTAAAGTCTATAAGATGGCGTTCATATTATGCACGGTTCCATATTCATGTATTTTTTTTTTTTAAGAATCATTTATAATTATAGCTGTGACTTTCATGTAACTGCAATCCATTGTGTAGTCTCTTCGTGGTATCGTGATATTAATATAATACATATCACCGTATAATTCATACATAATTTAAGTGGTAAATATTTAATTGGTTTTAGAGATAAAAATTTACTTGTTCTCGCGCGACATATACGAGAATACATGAAAACTTTTACGTGCTGATGAATAGTAAATAGCTCAAGTTAAACATGAAGAATGGGAAACTCTAAGAGCAAACCATAAAGTTTGCCTGTTCTCAATGTCTTAAATTAAGTGTATTTGTACATTAAATTTGCGTATTTCATGGCGCTATCTTGTATTTATCAAATGAGGAAAGAACGAGAAAACGCATAAGAAAAGTAGTTTATTTTAAATATTTATGAGCAAGCGTTTTAATATATTTTTGTATTTTTTAATTTTTTTTTGGAGTTAACGAATCACATCTATAATAAGGAAAAAAATATGTCGCACAAGCGTCGATCTTTACTACTCGGGGAACAGTAAGGTCGAGTGTCATTCCATTGATCGTTTTCTCGGGATCAGAACGAGGTTAATCTCGAGGATACTTAACACACCGGGTTTGTGCCGTAAAAGTGTGCCATCGATAAAACTCGTCCGTGAAACTTACTTTATTTGTTTAAAGATTTAATCAGTTAAAAGTTAAAGGTTCAATGACTTCACTAAAGATGCAATGCACTTAAAAATATAATCGATCGTTTTTTATCGTAATCGATGTTTTTAAAAGATAAATTAATATTTGTGGAATTTTTAAATACTGATCAGAAATACCGTACAAATTTAATGCTTATAATTTTATTTATACTCTTAAAAATAACCATATATATCTCTTATGCATTTGTTTCACTTCTTTTAATAAATGCAATTAGACAGTGTTATGAAATATGCAACGTTTGAATATGCATTTATAATTTAAGATACACACATTCTCGAGAAACGGCGAACTGTAACGCTTTCTCTTCATGTTTTACTTCAATATTTACAATGTAGTACATTTATATTCAATTCCAGGCTATTTGCATACATATTCTTTGATCAGTGTTTTAAATATTACATGTATTTATTGTTCGATAAAATACATTGCAGTACTTCTGTTCACTACATATTAATATTAGATATTTTGTCCAAACATATGTTCAATTGCAGATTTGCAATACCCCCATGAGATTTCCGACAAAAAAAAACAGTGCATGATAATCGTTTGAATAAACCACGCTACGAAATGTGGAATGTGTGCAAACAAGCCCCGGTATTGGCCGACAGAAATACAGAGGCAAAATACACATATGCATGCACACGTACACCATATCTATAAAACGCTCGGCGTATAGATGAGAAAGAGTGATCGTTTTCTGTCTATGTTGACACAGTATTACATGCGGCAGGGCTGCGTGGCAGTGATGTCGACCACTTGGATAGCGAGCGTGGCAATTTTCGGGGTTCTAGTACTCCCCAGAGGCGGTTACTACTTCAACGGGTCTGGCCTCCTTGCCTGCGACCCCTTCTTCGCTAGAGCGTCCCTTAGGTATCGCCATAGTGAACGCCGGTGATAAGCCCGACATTTCACGATCTTGCCCGCCGCCGCATTTGTTCACCATGCCGGTGACCAATTGTGGACAATTACAATTTTAATGTCGAAAACGATGTCGCGCGGTCGATCGCCTTGGGGGAACAACTGAGGCGATCAACTGTGAAAGATAGCGATATATCTGCGTTAATGTTCCCTTCCGGTACGCTTAAAGTCTGATCTAAACCGGTGCTAACTACGAAAGACCGTCTCTTCGAACTATCGTAATGTTTTTATCGGGTCGGTAGTTTAAAAACTATCTCGCCACATTTGTTCAAACAGAATTATCCATTTATATCACGGCTTTTGGAAACGTTGCTATGGAGAGAAATCGAATAAAATAAAGTTTAAGGTAATTTAAATGCACACGAGATAGAGTCGACCCTCACAAAGTTCAATACAAAGCATATTAATTAAGTTAATTTATAATAAAGAAAGTTGAAACGCGCGGATGCTGGTCGTGAAACTGTTTTTATTGTGTTATAGACATTAATAAACTTCGCGCATGTATCATCAGATTCCGCGCAATCTGCTTGTACAAATATAATTTTATTGCGTTCACGTGATATCATCTTCGCCGCGTCACTTTATATTCCCATTCGTGTATGACGCGCTAATTACTGCTTTTCTGAACCGGAAAATGCTCTTTATCGTATCTCCTTTTTCAGGATCCTGGCGTGTTGCTCTTTTTATTTCCCGACGACGATGGTGCTGATGTACTGCTACGGCTCGGCCTTCCACGTTAACAAACTACGTTTGAAAAGAGTGGTCTGTGTTAACACGCCGGAGGTCGTTAATGGCGGCCATATAGAAAGGGTAAGTCAAAGTTTATTCCCTTTGTGAATAAAATTCAAATCGACGAGCAATTCGTTTGGAGATAATTAACAAAACAATCCCGTCAAATGTAAAAGAAAAACATTACATCGACAAATGATTCGGTGCACAAAGTGCGTTGCGCAGCATGAGTCGCAAAACTGACATTCTGCAAATTAAATATCGCTTACTGTCCTTTACGTTTGTCACAGTTAAAAAGAATATCACACGAATGTGCAATCTGTACTTTTCTTTCTTTAAGTAACAATTTTGTATTAAGTAGCAATGTATAATAAAATTACATTAGGTTTAAAATTAAATTCGTGTTTATATCAATGCATGCGTGTGTGCATATGCATATGTGTGTGTAAAGTTGTAAAGCAGATAATATAGGATCATCTTTAGCAGGCACGTTTGAAACTTTATGTTTTACGCGACTCGCTGCTCACGTCAAGTTCATGTTCTCCAGTAAATTACGCAATGAAATTATAAAGCTTGTAGTAGATATACCGAAGAACTTTATGCAAGAGTTTACGTAAGGTTCCCAAGTGCATTCTCGCGAAAGAGCAGCAACTCGTAAACTAGTTTCTAAATCTGTTGAAATTTGTTGAAACACGGAAGATTCACATGGAAGGCATCTTGCAATAAATGCACACAAATTCGAGGACAGTTGGCATGAGGAAAAATCGACTAATCCTGTCACCGATATATCTCTTAAAGCGGAGATGCCAAATAGATTCGTTTCGAGGTCACAGAGACCTACCAGGGAACTCTCGCCAAAGGCGGGAAAATATCGCAAGGTCATAGTGCAAAAATCCTATTGTTGCAGATTTGGGCGGAATACGGCCGGTTCAAATAAAATTTACAGACCAATAAAAGCAATTATAATATTAATAATAATCAGATATTTTAAGTTATCTAGCTAATTTAATAGCTTGTTGCACGAAATGAATTATTTATTTCAAAATAAAAACGAGATGTATTAATTGCAAAATAATATTTTTAATAGACGCTCTACATATCGTAATTAAAAACATTATCAAATACGCAACGGATCAATGTGTCTGATCTGCAATGATAGGATAGTTAGTAGGAGAAACGACTGTAAACCAACCGATATCCGCGGAAAGACGCGTAACTTCCGCCGATAGAAGCCGCACTGATGCCTCTTTGGATCGGTATCTTTGGCATTACCGGGAGGACAACCGTCCGAAGCAAGATGGATGGTCCGGACGCGGCTAAGCCAGCGTCGCTTGAATTCGCTGTCGCTCGCTGTCGTCTGCGATGCATTGAATTCATCCACGATAACGAGCTCCTGAGGCCGTTCTCGTTGGCCTAAAGCTATGCGCTAGACATTGAGCGATCGCGACGGCAACACTGGCTCTATCCGTCGATCTACCAATCCCGGAAAATAGTCGCGAAAGCTCAACAATACCTAGTAGAATGCAAACACGAGCTGGCGAGGTTACTGAATAAATGGAATTCAGAGAACTGTCGTGTATTCAAGGGGAGAATGGTGCTCAATAAACGAGCGATCGTGAATATTTCGAGAATAATTGTCCGGCGTGGGCGACGAGCATCGCGAAGTGATAACAATCAGAGGCTGCTTGCATATACACTTCTTTAAATTTGCATTTAGTATAGCTACTGCGGCGAAAAAGTTTAATAGCTATTAAAGACATTAAAAGTTTGAAGATTGCAATAATAAATGTTTCATACTTTCAACTTTTAATTTCGCGTAAACAAACGTGAAGCACTCTGGAAAATATCAATTTTCTTTGCTAGAATTATCTAGCTCGGATTTTAAAGGAAATTGCACTAATGGAAGATACGTTCGCTCACAAGAATTCCTTTAAGATCTTTATTAAATATTTCATAGTACTTTTGTACCAGAAACAACAGATAAGAAAATGCGAGGTAATATTCCCGATGGGAAAAATAAAACATCTCGAAATATCTTCGTGAATAAATAATAACATGTGCTGTTAAAAATACATAGAGACGGATCGTATGTTACTAACCTCGCCGCATTTTCCCATTGATGCAAGGATTCTTGTGACCCAATTTAAGTAACCCTATTCTAAAAGCTTCCTTCCCTTAATTCCGCTCTAAAAACGAACCTTACGCCTTGGAAATTTTGGCAAGCTACTCCGGCACGAGAGCAGACGTGCTTTTGGCTTTTTCCTCAACCCCCACGTGACGCTTTCGTGGTCAAACCACTACCAACGCCCTTCTTCAGGATGTGCGCCCCAGTTTTCGCGGCAAACAATATTTTTCTTCTTGCACCCCCGCGTCACCCCTGCTCCGCGTTTCCCATCTCAGGAAATCGCATTTATCTTGACATTAGCCAGAACCATCCTGCGAAGAGGCCAGAGTTCCGACCTTGTTCCCACTGGGTGCACTTGCTTATTTCACTTCTTTTTTCCGCGCCGTGTTCTACCGTTCGTATTGTTTTAGTGATCTCACACCAATGAGAAAAAAATTAAGATCTTCTCTATGTAGCGAAATTATTTCCTCTAATGTCTTTTTTATGTCAGAACAAAGTTTAAAATCTGTTACTTATATCTTTAAAGCCACGAAAAGAAGAGTTTTAAGTTTGCGAAACTTAATTTAAGAATAAATTTATCTGATTACATTTTTATATCATTACAATATTTTCTTTTAGTTTAAAATATTTACATATACACACATATATACACATGTAATAATCTTTATTTATGTACATATATTTTTATCTATTCTTTTATATAGAAATCATCGAAAACAAGAGAAATATTTTTCGATTTCCTAAATCGAGGCAATTTTTATTTTGCGTCAGTATAAGAAGCCTTCGATACCCCTACTAAACTAACTAACTCAAGTTCAATAATCCTACTTTAATTCCATCTATACTCAGACTTTAGATTCCAGTTTCGACATCGTAAGTCGCCTCACCGATTCTCTAGAGCTCTGCTGAGAAGTCGAGCGTTTAAGACCTGAGTAAATGGAGAAAATTAAAGGCGCGCCGATTAAGTCAATCAGAACCTGGAAAATGTTCCTAAAGAAACTTTTGCCGTTTCTTCCTGACAAACAACGCGTTTAATGATAAAATCTCAAGGGCTAATATACTTTATGTTTAATCGAGAATAAGTAGTAAATCTTTAATTAGGTCGGTATTCATAGTCAGATCTTATATATAAAATCGTCTTAAGTTCATCTTTAGATACTCCGTAGCCAATAAACGAATCATACAGCATCTAAAGATACACTTAAAACAATCTTAAATATAAGATCTGACTATGAATACCGGCCTTAGAGTCTTGAAGAAATAGGAACGCAGAATCTATCATTTATTTTTATTCTTAACTAAAATTTTATATTATCGCTATCATATTATAACAATAGCAATATAATCCTACGTGCAATATTAAAAGATTACAAATAATTGCTTCCGAACGGAGATTCGTTCTATGAAAAATCGATTCTAATTCATCAAACGACCTGTCGTATGAATAAAAAGCGGTAGTGCTGAATCACTCAGGCATTTTCGTGCAATTCGGGTCACGTCCTTTAGCGATTTTAACATTTTAATGCAAACTAAAAAAAAACGATATTAGGAATTATTGCTTTACCTAATCTACTGCCGTTGAAGCATTGAAAAATTACCTTCTAGCACATGAACGTGTGACGGCTTAATCATTATAAATTATCTCGCTGCGATCATTAACCCAGTTCAAGTGACGATCCCTGAAGCGGTCGCACCGTGTACTATTTCTACTGTGCCGTCGCCAAGATATTCTACCCATTTCTTCCTTTAGACAATTTCCTTCACACGCGGGCTAATGGCGTATTAGCAGCTGCACATCAATAAATTCCTGGCCCGTGCGACGCGTCATTATAAGTAAGGAATGTGAGCCGTGGTTTGGACCAGTTTAAACTTTAAACGCACATCCAACAAGGAATACCACGAGACTGAAACATCGCGTCTCTCGACCGAAAGATCATTCCAATCGTCCCTCCGCGCGCGCATTAAAGTGTGTGTCCGTTTCCGTACTCCATCGTAAAATGGCCCGTAATCGGTCGGGAATCCGCGGATCGTTACGCTCCCCTCGTTCCCGCTGCCGGCTCGCATTTTCCGGGTAGGCAGGATCTCGAGACAAAATGGGTTAAGTGCGCGAGCATGATGGCAGAACGGGGAATTACAGGCCGAGGGCGGGGTGGGAATCTTTCTCTCCCCGGCCCCCAACGACGAAGTCTCGACGGTCACTTCCGTGGGCGGCGTTCATGCTTTATGTCATGGTCAACGTCCGTCGACCGTTGTCGACAGCGTGCGAGTTTACGATATTAATGAATCAGCGTCGCATCGATTACTCCGACGCGCGATATTAATGTTCCGAAATTACCGGTTAGACGTACCGGGACAAATGCTCTGCGTCCTTCAAACAAATTATTGCGATTGTTAGGGTCGAAAACTATTGGTCATTCAGACTTCCTGGTGCAATTTAGGAGAACGCTGGAACTGCTGCATCTCGCGTCGCACGGATTGCAAAGTATAAAGAGTTATAAAAAGAGAAAGAAATGTACAAGGTAAAGAAATATTACACCAGACATGTCTCTCATGCACCGCACGTTGTATATCAAGCAGCGCAAGTCCACTTTTTTCTTTGTTCATAATATTTTTAGCTTTTATTGTCACCGCTATACCGCAATAATGTCAAAAAGAGTTCGCTGCTTTTGTTAAGATATAGTAAAAGTTAACGATATTTTTATATATTTGTAGTATTTTGTATGTATTTTACGGCGACAACAAACATGAACATAATAGATATTAAAAATATAAAATGGTATAGAATAACTGCACACACCATCTTTTTTTCATCCAGTTAATGCAATTAATACAAATCTTTTTGCGATATAGCTAATAATTTAAAATAAGTTAATATACTACTCTGGTAAAGCTTAATAATTAATCAAATAAATTATTTCGCCAGTAATAAAGTTTTAAATTATTATGGTACATCAAT